CAACAAACACCACCTCACACAAAGAAAGAGCAGCAACCCAGCTCGTTTTGCAGCTCTACATCTGACAAGAGCAGGAGGAACCAACATAGACAGAAAGCCTTCAACAGATACTGGTGCCACTTCAGCCCTCTCGAGGATGCTGCTTTGACACAGTTGAGCTAGTACCAATTCCAGGATGAAAGAATCCTCTCCACTGCCCTAAAGGGCCATGGCAGTGAGCTGCCAACCCTTCTACTCCACAGCAGCCCGCCTTCTAGCTGTTTCTGCTCCTTCCCCCCTTCCTCCACTCACAGTCAGCCTCCCATTGTTAGCCACTCACCTCAGGAAGCCCAAGTCGTGGAAGAACAGAAAGGTCCAAGTCTGGTCTGTCTTTGAATGTCCATGACACCAGGAGACCCTCATTCTGTATCTCCTCCAAGTGGATCTCCACCTGGCCCAGAACAAATATCCATAGTCGGAAACAGTTTCTGCTTACATTAGGTGATTTTTGCCCCATTCCAAATTCAGCAATTGAAAGGTTCTCACACCAGCGTAACAGTAAAAAACAGAACATAAGAAGAGAAGTGCTCCCAGGCCTAGAGGATGAAGCAGCTGCAGAAGCTCCATAGCGAGATTTGGCTTCCTCACTGCAGTTGGAAGCCCGGGCACCACCAGAGGGAAAAATGATCCATTTTTTCTTTTACTGAAGAAAAAGCCTGCAGAGTACAATCCAAAAGTGCCCAACTGGGCACCAACACATAGGATATTTACTGAGTTACATCACTTAGGCATTGCCAAATGTAAGCACAACCAAATGTTAGTGACAGCTTCTTCCAGCCCACTGAAGCCTTTATTTGCATTTTGAATCAGGTCCTCCTTCCTCGATCAGTGTGGGACTAGATGGAGGAGTAAGGTCAATGTTTAACTTCTTGTAATCCTTACCTGAGCCTGCAGCACAGCCAAAGTGACATGATACGTGTCCACAGAAACAGCAACAGGGGACTGCTGAGTAACAGAGACAGGGAATTTCACAGCTTCAGCTGACAGATGGCAGCACAGCACCTAAAAAGAGAAGGAAAAGATGAGTTTATAACCCAGCAAGAGGCAGCTGTGTTATTCTCACCAAGTTCCAAGCTGCAAACCTGCCACTTCAGACCCTGTGCTATGACAAGAGCTCTCCTGTGCTCTCCATAGTAGAACCCTGATGTCTGGGTTCAGCCTTCACACACCCCAGCGTCACCAACGTATCTTCCCTCACAGAGCTCACCAATGCACAGCTCCAGAGCCTCCAAACAGGAGGCAAGCCTCCGAACTCCTCCAAACAGATCTCACTCAGAACCTCCCTGGCTCCACCATCTCCATCAGAAAGGCCTCAGCAGTCTCTGTAGAACACACCATCACACCAGACTGTACAGTTCAGAACAGCAAAGCCTTACCATGCTGTGGTCTGACTGTCCCTTGCATGTCACACAACTTATATTGGCAGCTTGTGGTAACTGAGGACCCTCTTCAAATGTGATCTGCACTGAACTCTGCAAAGAGAAAACTCTGTTAGTTCCCAGTACTCAGAGCCACCCTGATAGTTCCAAAGAGGATGAATGATGCAGGGTCCCAGAGACACCTTTTCACAAATCCAGTCAGCACCCGGAACTATGGCACACTGTAATTCTACTCACCTGGACTTGTCTATACACAGAAAGGAAACAAGGTGCCCAGTTAAATCTTGAATTCACAGATACAAGCACCTCCAGGAAAGTGCAAATCTCATCCAGAATCTCACGAGACAAAGTCCTCCAGGACAACTCCCAGACCCCGCTTCAGGAAACAGTTTTTAGACCCAGCAACTCACTGAGGCAACGCTGCTTTCTGAGCAGACATGCTCCAGACAAGGAGCAGCTGCAGCAGAAACTGAAGTGTGGCCATCCAGGGGCCTCCATGCCAATTCAGCCACCGGCTATCTTCCCTTTACAGAAGTCCTTAATTCTGGAACTTATACATTCAGGTCATTTTGTGATACTCTCGAGTAATTCAACACACATGACAGAAAAGCACAGCATATCAGATATGGAAAACTGCCGACACTTTGACTATTGCATTGTGATAAGAGGGGCACGGAAGCAGAGGGTGAGTTTCTACAGGGGAAGCGGGGGAGCACTAAGCCCAGTGGGGGAAGGCACTTCACACTGAATCCAGCCTAGAATTTGTCACTCTGTCGAAAAAGGAGATACTTTTCCTATCTTGCTGGAAAACCCAAACAGAAGTTTGCATCATGTTCTTCAGGACTTTAACTGTTTTTTATTCAAATATGTCAGCTTCCTGCTAATCTTTTTAGCACCTTATTTTCCTACACAACTTAACAAAGGGCAACCATTTCCCACTCACACGACAGAAAAATAAAAGGATATTGCAACAGACTTTGGACTGCTTTGGACTGTGAAATACAAAGCTGTGTTTCGTGTCAGGTACATACAAGCAACGTGTGTATCTGTGATTGTGATATGTGTGGAAACAGACCACAGGACAATTCTAAAGACAATTCTAATAAATAACTGAGGAAGTAAAGCATGGAAGAAGGCCTTTGAACCTATCCTTTGTTTGCAATTAACCTTTATAAATCTTAAGTTGATTTAGCAGCATTTGAATTAAAGCTTTAAAGATGTTGCTGTTTGACAGGAACTTTCTGCTTGTAGCGAAAAAGAGGTTTGCAATAATAACCTTTTGAAGTATAATTTTAGAATTTTGCTTGTAGTAAAGATCTTTGAAGCTACAGCTTTAGAATATACAAAAAAGAAACATGCTTATCTCGACGCCTTAACAAAACAGCGAAAAGCAGCTTGAGAAAGGAAGATGAACATCAACTCAAGGATTGATAGTTTCGACCAAGGGAAGCTGGACATCACTGCTATGAGATTTATAGTCCTTGCAATTAAAAGGTGAACCCGCAGCTGGAATCTGGACCTCACCAGCTGGGAGACTTCTTTCTTCTTTCGGCCCGGCGGCCCCGCGGCGCAGCCCCGCCCGCCGCTCCGCCCGGGCCCGCGGGCCGGCCGTGGCACCCGGTCTGAGCGGCCAGCAAGGCTGCCGCGAGCCTTCTCTTCTGCGCGACTGAAACGGGAGCACAGCCGCGATCTGAAAGCCCAAATCCCCAGCGGCTTTCCGAGCTTCGATTAGCGACGCTTTTCTCCTTCACGTCATGCTCTTTTCTGCTGGGTGTCACTACCCCATTCCCACCAGGCACGCAGGACACAGCAGCAACGCAGAACCTTTCCGTTCATCTGCTCGCGATCGTGCCACTCTCGCCGTGGAGGGCAAGGAACAGGAGTTTTGATCACCTCCCGACAGTCACAACCCAAAGCAGCAGCGGCCTCTGGGCAGACGTGCTCCCCTGCACCTCTGTGCTGTGCTTTCCTCCCCGGCATCACCATATGCCCACCTCAAAGTTGATTTGAAGTTTACAAAATCACTCTTGCATGTGTGCAACAGACAGCAGAGCAGTATTGCCGGCCAGGGGCTATGTACAAATCACAAACGGCACGGGACTGCTAGGAACGTGTCTTGAGCAGTTTTATTTCCCAGCATCAGTCTCATTACATGGTTATGACAATGGGAGGATGCCAGCAGCTCACATCCCAGGCAACAGACCAAGAACTTAATGTTACAATTTACTTTGTAAGTTTTTTGACCAATCACACAAAGCAAAAGCACATTGACAGTAGTTTTATCCAATTGCTATAAGCACACGTACCTTTGGTTAAAACAATGCTTGCTTATTTTGAATACGATACTTGTTTGTAAGCCTTAAAACACAATGCACAGAGCTCCATTATTAAGCTTAGAACTTCCTAATATCTTGCTAGATATACTTTTCTGCAGATTAGGGAGTTATTCTAGACAAGTGTTAATACACAGACCATTGTTCCATTTGTCCTTACTTTTCTACTTTTTACATAATTTTTCTGCTAACTTATTTTATGGCTACTGCTTAGCTGTAATCACAGTTCTGCTGTCTCTGAGGCCTGCCTTTCACAACTTTCCCAAAACGCCCTGATTTTATCGATTCCCACAATCCCACACAACAGCAGCTCCTTAGGTGGCCATAAAGCCACCAGAAACCATTTCAGGCTGCCATACAGGTGCAGGGCACGTAAAAGTTCTTACTGCTGCCGGACTTTCTGCTGCTGTGCCTCCCCCTCTGCTCATCGACTCACACCTGAATGAACAGAACAGTGAATGGACACTGAGCCTCCCCTACCTTCCCCTCCCACCCCGCAAAAATGCCCCGAGGGCCCAACAGCAGTTACAGATTCCCTGACAATCAAAAATCTCCAGTAAGGTATTTTACTGAATTTTCCCAACATCTGAGGAAACACGTGGGGAAACGAACCCAACGGCCGCTCACTTTTCCGATCTCGCGCATTCTGCACCCTGGTAACACGGCTCGCTGCCCCGCCGGCGGGCGGTGACTGCGCTGGCCGGGGCTCGCCCGCAGCCGCTCGCAAGCGCGGCTCCCCAGGCCCGGGCAAAAGGCGGTGCCGGCGGGGAGGCGGACGGAGCCGGCGCTCGTTCAGCGCGGCCGCCCTCCTGGCCGCGCACCCTCCACCGGAGCTCACCGGCTCCCCGCACGGGAGGAAGTGACGTACCTGCGAAACGGGGCGGCAAGGTGGCCATGGCGGTTGTGGGCATTGCGGGGCGGAGTCCGTGGCTGGGCCGTCCCCGGGCGAGTGCTACTCCCGGCGCAGTTTCGGAGGAACCCCGCGGAGGAAGAAAAGCACCGCGAACCTTAGCACCGGGGACAGGCCCCTCCATACGCCCTCAGCGCGGCCGAAACCGCTACCGATCCCGGTCGTGGCGCGAGCAGAGCTCCGTGCCAGCAGGAAGCTCATGCCAGGGCCAAAGATGGCGCCCCCGCCCCCGATAGACCGCGAGGGCACCGCGCATCCGGCGCCGCCCGCGTAACGCCCCGCCGGGAAGGCGGCGGGCAGCGCCCCCGCCCGGCCTCGCTCCGCGCCCTTGGCGCTCGCCGGCGGCCATGGCGGCCTGGCCCACCGTGCCCCTCCTCATCAACCTCGGCGGGTCGCTGCTGGGCTTCGCGGCCACGCTCACGCTGATTCCGGCCTTCACGGACCACTTCCTCGCCGCGCGGCTCTTCGGGGAGGACCTGAACAAGACGTCAAGGCGGCCCGTGTGAGTAGCGCTGCCCCAGGGAGCTGCCCCGCGGGGCCGGCCCCCGCACGGCTGACTCTCCCCGCTCTGCCTTCCAGCCCCGAAGCACAGGGCGTGATCAGCGGTGCCGTGTTCCTCATCATCCTCTTCTGCTTCATCCCCGTGCCCTTCCTGAGATGTTTTGTGGAGGAGCAGTGCGCGGCCTTGCCTCACGACGAGGTGAGGCTCGTCTAGTGCCGCAAGCGTGGCAGGCAGGGGCAGGGAGTGGCCACCGGTGACCGGAGTCCTGTTCTCTGTCCCGCAGTTCGTGGAGCTCATCGGTTCTCTCCTTGCCATCTGCTGCATGATTTTCCTGGGCTTTGCAGATGATGTTCTGAACCTGCGCTGGCGGCACAAGTTGCTTCTGCCTACCATGGCTTCCCTCCCACTGCTCATGGTTTACTTCACCAACTTTGGGAACACGACCATTGTGGTGCCTAAGCCCTTCCGGGTGCTGCTGGGCATGCACTTGGACCTGGGTAAGTTACGAATCACCAGAAGCTGTCATCCATGTGGCAAGCAGTCAGTTGCAGGGATCACATGTGCTGCAGAGGGAGCAGACTAAGGATTTGCTTAAGTAACTAGTAAGAGAGTGGCAGTCCACCCACTAAACATTAGGCTGGAAAGAACATCCAGAAACCCAGCACACATTCAGCTGTGCATGAAATAAATAGGGCAGGAGATCGTTCTCCTTTTTTAATGCCTTTATTAAAAATCAGCTCAAGTGGGGAGAACCGACGGGTCGTGCCCATGCTGCCACTGCTCCCAGGAGTGGCACGGAGGAGGAGGAAGAATGCAGCTGTGTCCGCTGGCACGCGGGCAGAGCTGGGGCTCCTGTCTTCACCAGAGCAGTAGGAGATTCCTCCACTTTTCCAGTTTGACATTCAAGGCCGACATCCTTTAGGTTAGGGTGAGAGGTACAAAGGATCTTAGCAGACACTGGATTAAGTTCCTCATCTTTAGACATCACTTAGATCTCTTAATTCCATGTTGGCACGTTGTTTTAGGGGTTTTTCTTGCAAGATTTGGTGTGGAGCGTCCTCATTTGCATACCAGCTCTGACGTCACCTCCCCCCCCGCAGCTTCAGGTGTCATCCTCCGGGAAGCAGCAGGGGGACACTTGAGCTGATTTCTAACCATTAACAGGTAATTGAAGAAAAACTATTAAGAACAGGTGATTACAGCATGAAGTTATTAACAACAGCAGTTGGTTTAACTTGTTAACGCTGCAACTTAAAAAAAATATGGACAACTTTTCTACTCCTAATAGTGCACAGACAGACACCAATCATTTTCCTGTGGCAATACAGCTGAGTACTGGGGCACATAGCACATGGCTGATAACACCAGGTCATTAGAAAGACAGAAACAGCACTACAGCTGGCTGCTGTGTCACAGCAGTTTGCCACAGTCACAGTGCATGTAGACATGACAGCCAGCTTGTAAGAGAGGAAGCAATCTTATTTGTAAGCTACCATTATCGAAACACACTGAAATTGGTAATAGGTTGTTGTATAAAGCAAGAAGTGAGAGCTTCAGTCAATTGGTCTAGGGCCTGCTTTGCCTCCAAATACTGAAGCATTTGACTTGCTCTGCTCTGCAGGTATCCTCTACTACGTGTACATGGGTATGCTAGCAGTGTTCTGCACTAATGCCATCAACATTCTTGCTGGAATTAATGGAATTGAAGCAGGACAGTCGCTGGTGATAGCTGCTTCCATTATCATATTCAATATTGTAGAACTAAACGGTAAGGAAAATAACAAACTTCTGTGAGCACAAAAAGCAAAGGGAGATTGAATTCCAAATTTCAGTAGCTGGTATTACTAAAAATGAACCAGTCTTGTCTTGTCACAAACATGTTTTTCTTTTTTCTATAGGGGATTATCAAGATGATCACATTTTTTCTCTCTACTTCATGATTCCCTTTTTTTTTACCACGCTGGGCCTATTTTACCACAACTGGTAAGAGGATAGACATTCAGAATTTGTTTGGAAGCATCCTTTCCCTCTAGTTTCTCCCTTTTTGAATGAACAAAACCACTTGACCAGGTGCAGGTGTGGAACACTGGAGTGTAGAGAGGCTTCTTGCCAGAACCAAGAACACAAAGCATGGATGGATTAGTAGCTTTTCTTTGTATTGAAACAATTGCGGTCACACCAGCTCACCCAAACATGCAGAATACACTGTCTCCTGTGCCTCGCTGGCTGTCTTTTCATACAGTATTCTCTGCAAGTCAGGTGGTGGGTCCCAGTCCTGCAGTTCTTAGATTAAATACTTACAATTGTTTTTACTGCGTAGATCTGCTGCAGATCTCTGCTGGCCCCCTGACCTGCGATGTGGGTACACATTCAGTGGTTATAAATAGTCATTCTTGTGGCAACAGCAGTTAATTCAGATCTTTGCTTTTCTGCTCCATGGATTTCAGGTACCCATCTCGAGTGTTTGTTGGGGATACCTTCTGCTACTTTGCTGGCATGACCTTTGCTGTGGTGGGGATCGTAGGACACTTCAGCAAAACAATGCTGCTTTTTTTCATCCCGCAAGTACTCAACTTCCTCTATTCATTGCCTCAACTCTTCCACGTCATTCCTTGTCCCCGTCACCGGCTACCGAGGTAATGTACCCAGTGGCCTATAGTGGTACTACAGGTTGTGTCTTTTACCTCCAACACCAGCTGAGAAAGGTGGTGGAAGGTGCTCTCTTGAAAAGCCATCAAAGTATGTTTTCTGTTTAAAAGACAGCAGCTCACTCTGCCAGCTACAGTCAGATCATACAGTAGAGGCTTCTCAAAGAAGTGCACTTTTCAGACCAGCCCACCCCTCACATACAGAATGATTTTTAACAAGGTTAGAACATGATGATTGATGGAGAGAAATTGACACAGGCTGCTTTTAATGTTGCAGCAGTGGGATCTGCTAAGATTTCTTAGTAGCAAGCATTCTGTAGCACTATGCCACATCAGCAGTTCTCTCTGCAGATGTTAGATTCTTCTGTTTTATTCTTTAAACTACACAGCATATATTGGGGGTGCAATGGGAAGGAGTCTTCTCTGCCCCACTTGAGGGGCTAGATACCAGCAGCTGTTTTTAAGTGCATCAGGCTATTCCTGTTTCTTCCACCACTGGATTTCTTTCTCAGTTATGGATCTAAGTCTGCTTACAAAGTGATCTCTCTATCCCCTTGCTGTATCTGGACTAAATTTTAAATGTTTCTTTTAGGCTTAATCCTAGTACAGGGAAGTTGGAGATGAGCTACTCCAAATTCAAAACTAAGAGCCTCTCTGCTCTGGGAACAAGCATTCTGAAGGTAATTTGTGGAAAACATTCAAAATTCAGATGCATTTTGAGGCTGTCATCAAGTGCAAGAGAAACAAGGTGGGAGAGAATGCAGAACTTCAGTAGTTACTGCCTAGCTCAAATCTGGAAGAAGTCTGTTACCATCCCTCACAGTCACTCGATTGTGTTAAAAATCAGTCTTCCAGAATAACCACACATAGAAGTGCCCAGGACCATCATAAATCTGTCCTGTCTTTTCAGTAAGAGAACAACCAGGATTTCAGGGCTGGCTCTTCAGCAGGATTAGCCAGTGAACACCAAACATAGCTGGTGAAATAGCATCCAATATTTCTTTCCTCAGGTAGTCAAGATCTTGCACATAGTAGATGTGAGGAGTGGAACAGATGAAGATGGCGAATACACCGAATGCAATAATATGACACTTATTAATTTTGTCATAAAGCTGATTGGACCCACCCACGAGCGAAATCTCACTCTCCTGTTGCTACTCATTCAGGTCAGACAAAGAATTCCTCCAGTAGAAAGATTTACTCTGCAATAGAAACAGATCCAAGTCAGTCTCAAGAACTTTAAGGGGAAAGGGGAAAGTGAAATATCATGCTCTTCACACAAGGTGCAATTGAGCTGTGGAGCTTGGGGGGAATAAGAGGCTTACACACCTCAAGCAGGAAAGAAATCCACACATACCTCCCTGTTCACTGAGAGCTTATAAAAAAGTCAGAAGGTTAGCTTAACAAGAGCCCCAAGGCACGAGTCATTGGTTGCAAGAAAAACATGAGCACAGCAGAATTCCTTGTCACTCTGACCCAAGACAGCCTTTTGGTATGTTCCTGTTTTTCAGTAATACCAAATAACAGTCTCAGAGTTCTCACGGGCAAGTGGACTTCCGTAAGCAAGGCACGTGGCTCAGCAGCCTCTCAGTCTGAGCGGCATGCGGAAGAAATTTGGAAGCCACTTGGAGCATAAGGATATGCATCACAGATCGTGCCACTACCTCTATTCAGCATGTGAATTCTCGAGCATAGTGTAGTAAAAACACCGCTTTTGGAAAGGCCTACACTGGTTAACTGCCCACAATAAAATCCTTCTTTTAATCTTGAGATTTAAGATAAGGGATTCTTACTAGGAAAGAGACACTTAGCCAGATTCTGATTTGAGAGGAACAACTTGCAACGAAAGCCTGTTGAGGGCTCAGGCAGATGACATCGGGATGGGAGAAGACAGGAAGTACATAGCACTTACCTTGATCCCAGTCACAGCAGAGAAGTCCTGACAGCACCTTATTGTAAGGATGCTGAATTTCAGCTTTGACATAAGGTATTTTCCATTACAAACCATGGGGTTTGTGTTAAAATATAGACTCCTTAAGGGGGAAGGAGTTATTCCCAAACTCTTATCTCATGCACATGTTCTTAGAATGTGACTGTGTGCAGGCACATGGAGAAATCTCCCACTGATACCTAAAATCATCAGAGAAAGAAACAATGTTTTTGGATAGACTTCTGCCATTTATCTTCCTATACTTAAATAAAGTAGCCTTTTAGTTGCTGTTTTATGAAACGAGGCATGCTGGAAAGCTTAGCAAATCCATTTGGAAAGGAGGAATCTGACAGCCTGAAAACCATTTGACAGTATAATGTTTCTGTTATGTGTCTGATTTTTACCTAGGTCCTTGGCAGCACGATTGCATTTTCGATCCGGTACCAACTAGTGCGCTTGTTTTATGATGTCTGACTGGACTGTCAGGAGCGAGGGAAAGAGTTCTGCCTGCCAGTCCATTTTCTCCAGTTGCTTGACCAAGCGATTGAACTGATGCTGCTCCCGCCCTCTGGGAACCTCAGAATACCTGTCAAAACGCAAGCAACTGCTTTGCGTGGGCTAGTTTTGAACCGGGATGTTCTTTGTGCACCAAAGGCTTTTGTCCAGTTCTGTGACAGAAAAGATTCACTGCTACTTGGACATCATTGTTACTAGGAATACCTTTTAGAGGGGACGCAAATGACAGCACATAGGGAAAGTGGGAAAGATGGAATCTCTATACATCTAACAAAGACATTACTGTTCACCAAGAGAGAAAACGTCAACTTTAATTTCTGTGAGCAGAATAAGTAGACCCGACTCCGTTCCTGGCTTCTCCAGTCCTGTTTTTGGTCCATGGACATAGAATGACATGTTATAACCTGTACTCAAAACTCAAGAGTGCTCCAAGAATAAAATAATTCATGGTACCCTTTCCCCTGCAGTGCTTTGCCTCGACAATATTGACACGCAGTGAAAATAGGTTGTACGATCCACATCTAGCTTTCTACCCTGTTAGGCAGCTGATAATTTCTGCAGTGGACATTCCCTCCTTTTTTATGTCTATTGGGAATGTTCCTGCTGATGAGCTTTTAGTTCTGCGTACCTTTATCATCTGCCTTCCTCCCTGGAAGAGAACACATCTGGAACAGGCTAGCAGAGTAAGGATCACCATGTCCTTGTCTTAGCAGGGCATCAAGAAGATCCTTTTATTAATGCGGAACTAAGAGTCTGCTGAATGCCAATCCCTGCTGCTCACTCTGGGGAAAAAAAACATACAAGTTGGGTTAGGTAAAACAGCACAGACTGCAGAGATAATTCTTACTGATCAGAAACATTTCAAAACATTACCACTTTCTTCACTTTTATTATTCCTTCAACATTCCCATGTGGTTTTTTTTTCTCCTAATCCACTTTGACTCCTCATTCTCCTTTGATGCTTCTGTTAATATACCCATATTAGAAATCCATAATATATCTCACACATTCCCAGAATTCCCTAAAAAGGGTCTCATGGTTGGTTTTTTCACATCTCTAACTGCTCTTCCCCGCATGTGCCACCCTAAGGCCAATGCCCCTACAGACAGGGATACCTCTCAGTCTGTAGGCATCCCGGGAGCCCCTCTGCCTCTCTGTGGGTGGAAGCCAGGCCCGGGGCCTGTCTCCGGCCCTCACGCAGCGCCGAGCGCCCTGCCGGGCGGCTCCGAGGGCTCGGGGGGGTCCGCGCCGCGGGCGGGCCGGCATTGCGCATGCTCGCTGAGGCCGGCGGCAGCGCCCCACCAATAGCCTCGGCGTGGTTTAAATTTGGCGCCTCGCTCGCTGATTGGTCGGATCCCGCGGCCAACACATTCAGAGCAAGCGCGTTGGTATCACACAAGCGACCAGTCAGCAAAAAGCTTCTTCCGGCAAACGCACCAATAGCTAGGGGCGGTGGCGTTGTCCAATGAGCTGGACCCTACTTGGCGGGAGGTTATAAAAATCCCGGGCGCGGCGCGTCAGGCGCATCGGTTCAGCAGCGCAGCGAGGCGCCATGTCCGGCCGTGGCAAGAGCGGCGGGAAGGCCCGTGCTAAGGCCAAATCTCGCTCGTCCCGGGCTGGGCTGCAGTTCCCGGTAGGGCGCGTTCACCGACTGCTGCGGCGCGGGCACTACGCGGAGCGGGTGGGGGCTGGTGCGCCCGTCTATCTGGCGGCCGTGCTCGAGTACCTGACCGCTGAGATCCTGGAGCTCGCGGGCAACGCGGCACGCGACAACAAGAAGACGCGCATCATCCCCCGTCACCTGCAGCTAGCGGTGCGCAACGACGAGGAGCTCAACAAGCTGTTGGGCGGCGTTACCATCGCGCAGGGCGGCGTCCTGCCCAACATTCAGGCCGTGCTGCTGCCCAAGAAGACCATCAAGAGGGGCAGTGGGCAGCAGTCGCAGGAGTACTAGGCCGGCCGGCCCTCCCGGCCCAACTCAAAGGCCCTTTTCAGGGCCACCCCATTGCTCACCGGGAGAGCTGCGATCCGCGGAGGAGGGAAGGGGACGAGATGCGTGGCCGGCCGTGGCTGCGGGGAGCGGGGCGGGGGGCGGGAAAGCGGCCCGGGGCCGGTCAAACACTGAGCGTGAGAGAGCTGCTCCGTAAGGACCCGTTATTTTAATTCTTACCTATCTCTGGTATATTCAGTGGACGTTGCCTAGAAAATAAAACTGCTTTATTTACAAAACAGGACCCCAACACGGTGCCGTTACAGTGTTTCTGCAAGGCACTGTAACAATCAAACCCTGCTCAGAGGATGCAGACCTAGTAGCGAGTGCAGGAAGCCACAGTATCTGGAACTGGGGCTGCTGCTCCAGCTCGCCCTTCAGTGGCAAGTCTAGCTAACCAGCTCTCATGACTTTTGTGGACAATACAAGGGAAACCAAAATGGCTGTCCGCTCCCTCATTTAATACTAGCCAATCTAGCAAGTACAGCTTATATAAAATCAATCTAACACTAGCCAATTGGCCAGTATATCAGGTGCATCTAGCCGATAACGGTGAACTTATTTTACCTTCACTAAGGCCAAGGGTGAATGTAGCATCTCTGCTACTTTACTATAAGGAACATGGTATCAGGAACCTAATGAGAGCCTTCAGTGATCCAGTGAGTGAGAAGGCCCAAATGCTGAGTGCTTTTGGGAGTCATTAGAGTACAGCATTTTAGTACCAGCACAGTTGCATATCCAGTTATAACCCAATGGGCACTTTGCTCCTAAATGAAATTGAACACTTGTATTTTATTTTATTTTTAATTTTTTCTTTCAGTTCTCAAGCTACAAAAATTGTTGACAATACTTCATAGAGATGTTTAACAATTTAGAGAAATGTGGAGAGGAGTGAAGAGCAGAAACTACTCAAGTTAACTTCATATTTCAGGTTTTTTGCACCCAAACATCAGGTAAGACTGGTGTGAATGTTGAAATAAATCCATCCAAAGGATCATGATGTCGCTGCACAGACTTGTAGCTATAGTTGTAGCACTCACACTGGCCTCACCCTAGGTTCAGCGGGCATCATTGAGCTGCCTTGCCACGCTAAGGATATGCTTTGCTCCCTTGCTCAGAAGTAAACTAGCTAGTTCAACACCCAGGTTCTCTGCAGCTTCCTGGGCCTGATCAGGAACGTTCTTGGCTGTGATGCCAACATGCTGCACGTCATCATTCGGTCCATCTTCATTCTGCAAATACAGACACCTCAAAGTAAGGCAGCAGGAGAACAGTGGGCAGGAAATTGAGACACCCGTGAAACACGGTAAAACCTAGTCTGAAGAGCCTCAAGAACAGTGTGCTGTTACAGGTTACAAGAAACCAGACCAAATGTAGTCTATTTCTAAAGGCCCGGTTTTTGTCATCTAGCTTCAGGTTTGAATTTTGAAGCCACCATGATTCCCGTACCTGATGGGGATAACTAACACCAGTCTGCATGGTCTCCTTCAGGCTATCAGATCCATCCAAGCTGTAGACTGCTCCTGTCAAATACAACTTGGAAAAATATATAGAATGATTACCACATTAACAAACAAACAGGCAGCCAACTACACCCTCTTTAAAAAACCCCACCCAATATACAAAGCTAAGTCTGGCAGGAAGGGCTTTTGTCATAGAGTGGGATCAGCATGAATAGTGGTACAATACGACTATAAAGAAAAGCAATCCCTGTTAGGGAAGATGTGACTTCTCAAGGAAAAGTCTGACATTTTTTCTAGTTTCCCTCCTCCTTAGTCACACTCCACTGTCTAAAAACAGGTTTGGTAGGGTCAAAAGCAATACTTTCAGACCTCAGGACAGCATGAAATAAGCAGCAGGGGTGGAGGGGGGAATCTGGTATATATTGTAAGGGAATTTTCTGAAAGACAGCTTCAGTAAGCCAGACCCATTCTTGTACTCCTGCTTTGGACACAAACACAGAAGAGTCAAGTCAGGATACTATCTAGCCCAACTGGCTATAAAGATACCTGCTGAAATTAGCTTCAGGAAAAGATAAGGAAACATGCACACACTTGGAATAGGTTTTCAGAAATAACCAATGAAAAATACAAAGTACTCCTCACCTGGCCATCCTTCAGCAGGGTGTTGACAGCAACAGGGACGCTACATCCACCCTCCTAAAACACAAAGCAGCTGACACTGAGGCTCCTACCCAACACATTCAAAGCAGAGGCCTCTGAAAAATTTAGGCTGCATACAACCCTGCCCATCACTCTTCTGGCCCTTTTTGATTCAGAAGTAGTGTCCTTTGCAGTTTTAGAGAAGTGTAACAGATTTCCCATATTATGCCATCAAGTCAACTAGCAGATCAGCATTTACTGCTGCAGGCAGAGGAAGGGTGCCAGACCTACCAAACGCTTCATAAAGGCTCTCTCAGCAATGCAGCACAACACAGTGTCTGCATCATGCAGGGCAGATACCATATTCAGTATCTCTTGGTCTTTGGCACGAACTTCCACTGCTAAGGCACCCTAGAAGAAGAAACACACAACAAAATATAATTCTTCAACTTCATACATCAGCATTGATCATGAAACAGAACTCATTGGCTCAGACCCTTTTCACTAAGAGAAAAAGAATGTTCACAGAAGTTAATTACTATACACTCCGCTGGCTGCAGGGTCATCCTACAGTAACTGCTATAAAGAGAAGATCAGGACTTATTCAGCCAAGTGTTAAAGATCATGCTGCCCACCTCAAACCATTCTAGAACTCTGGAGGTACTTGACAAATGCATGATCAAAATCACTTTTTCAGACTGAATGTGCAGATTTGTCACTTGCAATCACTAACAGATCACCAGCTCTGGTTTAGCAAATTTGATACTAGCTGCATGAACTCAGCCATGCAGCCAGCATGGACTAGAACAGTCTGCCCACCCAAAAACAGGAGCACTAAGAATGTGCTCCAAGGCAGGCATTTCAGCTCCACCCTGCAGGAGTCAGGACACCATGCACAAAGGGGAGCATCACAGACCAAAGACACTGCAGTGGCTTTGCAGTTACCCTGGTGCAGCATCATGCTGACCCTGCCAGAATCTGCCCCATATCTACCATGCTGCCCCTCTCTAGCTGTGCATGGATTTACCCTTCCCATTTACTGTTTTTTCTATTACTGATAGGAATCAGCCCCTAACACACTGGGTAGAAGAGCAGACTCGCAGTCTCCTAACAAGTTGTGCCTCAAACAGTGTAACAGCCAACAAAAGAGATCAAAGTACTTTTCTGATAACCAAGACATGAGAAGTCTTCATCACAGTTAACTACTCAGATGTATCATATTGCTGCTGGCTTTCAGTGCCCTTTAAGGAACAAAAGTTGTAAAGTACCTGTCCGACAGCATACAGACAATCTTCAGGGCCTAGGAGCTGAAAGAAAGTAAAACCAAGAGTTAACTCAACTTGAACTGTTCACAATATAGAAAACAAGAGCCAGATTCCTGTCTCTAATACTAATTGATTTAATGTCAGACCAAAGAAGTATCACCTCTCCCTTCCCATGCCTCAGTGTTTCCACCAAAACAGTGAGGTAACACACTTTCCATCAACTGAAGTGTAACACTTTGTGAATTAGGTAATCACTAAAATCTCAGCCTTGCACACTGCTGTGTTGCTAGACACAAGTGCTGTGAAGTGCTATGAGACAATCAGATTACAAACTGTTACTGAACCATGAAAAGCTGAACATGAAAAATTTCTGTATGAAAAAAAAAAGCAACCATTCCTTCCAGAAGTGCCTCAAATCAAAGCTAACATGGCAAAGGAGTCAGGAGATTTCATGCTTATCCTGGACAAGACAACCACAAGGTCTGAAAGGCAAACAGTTGCTATTTCAGCAGAGAATGGTATTTTCTGCTTTGCCGCACCTCACCTGGCCAATGCGATTCTCCCAGCCCATTCTCTTCAGCCCAGCAGCAGCCAGGATGATGGCACTGAAGTCTTCCTTCTCATCTAGCTTCTTTAAACGGGTATTTAAGTTTCCTCTCTGTAGAGGTGATTAAGCAAGCATAGAAACAGCCGGAAAACAGTCCTACAACCAGCTAAGTCTTTACAGACTGTACAGAATCCAAGAGTCTCCAAATGAGAATGTCAGTACCATCCTGAAAGAAGTGTTAAATATGCACAATTGTTTCTTAAAATTATATTTTATGGCAAGTATTATGGAATATTAATATTAATTCAAGTGCTGAGTCTACAAAGATATGCACACCAACGAAGTACACTATTAGCATCCAACTCCTTCTGCATTGCAAAGAACTCTGCTCCTAGGACTGAGGTAACAATGCCTTTTCTCTGTAGGTCAGCCACCCACAACGGAATTAGTGGTCCAAACAGCATCCAGGGTTACTGGAAACCCAGCAACATTTGGTCACACACCCATGACAAACACATGGGAGGCACCGCCATGCAGTTTTTCAAACACTGCAAAACATATAATTCATCTGTACGCTGAACCCCCAGCTAGATCAAGGCTGGCTGCTTCTTCCCAGCCTCATGAGAAGCAGAGGACAGAATGGCTACAGTGCTACCTCCCCCTCAGAACAGGGTAGTGGAAAACAGCCTTTGAGGAAGCAGTTTGTTCTTGTAAGTCAGGTGGCACAAAATCAGCCTCGAATCTAGATTTTACACAAAGTTGTACTTTCCCGTTTGCAGCTTTACCCAGCTGCCACGGCTTGCCAGGAAAGGATACAATATCCCTGAACTCTAAATGAGGGAACTTCTTCTTGAGCTGAGCTGCTCTCCGAAGTGAACTGGTTCCAATCACACTATAGGGAAAAACATAATCACTGAAATCCAGAACACTCCTAAAAGTTACCTCCAGCCACATATATGACAGAATTTTCAAGGAAACAAATAGTAACTGTTGGTTTTAGTTGAAATGAAGATAAAAAAAAACCAGTCAATGATTTGTATCTCCTTAGAAGAAAGAAAATCACTCTGTGAAGACAAAGCATGTCTGAAGCAACTCCCAAGGAGCCAATTTACAGGACATGCTTCTGATGTGCAGCCCCCAGCCACTGTCAAGGACTGATGAAACCTCATTGAAAGACAACATTTTTCACAGAAAAAAGACTCCACTGCCCCAAATGAACCAGACAAAGCCAGACAACTAAGTGATGAAGTGACTAAAACAGAGGAACTCCATCAAAGACAGAATTGCAGTAAGCAGAGGACCTTTGAGTATACAACTGGAAACCACAGAA